TCAACATTAGATGAGTCTGAAATTGAACATTTTGATTCTATATTATGAATTTGTTCAGTCACATCACTGATGTTATGAGCTATAAAACAAGTGAAACATCTCTCCGATGTTTAGATTATGCATATCTAGCTAACAAAATAAGCAGATCAATGTGAGTGGTTTCTAACTACTCACTGTATTCAGTAGTATATTTCGTTCACAGAAAAAATCACCTCATTTCGAATATATTGTATTCATTGTAAACTGTTGATATTTATTATCACTACCATGTTGTATATACATTTCAATGCAATATTATGTAAATTTATTCAATTAACTTTGCTCATTTCTATAGGATTCTGTTTGCAAAGTGCAATTATTATGTTCCATGTTGAACAATTTCAGGATAAATATGGTAAATCATCAGGTCATCCATATGGATTTAATCAGTGGTCTGAGGTAAGAAAACTACCACATTATGTCAACGTATCTTCTTTTTTTTTAGAACAAAATTAACAAAAATCTTTACTGAATTACTTCATTATTATAGTTTGTTGATAATATGTGAGAGGAAATATAGTTGGCAGTTGGATTTGAACTATTGACAATCTGATTTCTGGCTCGATGCCATATCTTCTTAGCTGTAATGCCCGGCTATTTATCAAGTTTCATGTTCATGAGGTATACTATCCTAAATCTTAGGAAATATAACAAAATTATTTCATTTTGGTATAGTCTATAAAAGATCAGTTAGTTGACAGGTTGTTTTCAATACAGACTAGCAGTAGATAGAAAACAGGCTACGATGATGGACCACTGAACAGATGCTTTTGTTATAGTCATTCAAATCATATGTAGTGCTTATGCAGAATCCGAAACCTAATCGACCTTAGGGTAGCCGGATATTGTCTTGAGCACGTTATTGTTAATCAATGAGATTAATAAAAATTACTCATATTTTGTTTATTCAGTCTATTTGTTTCTCTATATGATGTGACTGTAGTTTAAAGTCATAAGGATGCATTCAAATCCCTTCAAATACTATCAAGTATAGACTGATGAATTTTGAAGACTCAGAGATATTTTTCAAAAGTGTCTCTCTAATGTAGTCGAACAGTCAGTAGAAGGCAGTATCTACGGGTAATCTGTTGCTAAAATCCACAATATTAGGTTCTTAATATGCTGAACACATGTTCAAATAAAGTTAAAAATTGACTGAAACGATGTTTAGCCGAATAAAACTTTTAAAAAATATTTTTAGTTATTTTTCTTTACAGTTGTGGCATGCAATAAATCATTCTCTGAAATTCAGTATTGAAACAAGTTACTTCATTATACAATGATACACAGAAGGACAAGTATATGTAACTGATGATATTCTGATAGGAGTAAATAGTTATCCTGATTAAGTCTATTAGCCTTTATCCGATATTACAGTCTCATCAATGGTAAGGAAATTTACTTAGAGTTTAAAATGAGTGTAGCATGCTCTTATGAAATCATTATCTCATCTTCATCGAAGAAGAAGAAGAAGAATATCATTTAGCTTAAGAAAATCATCCAACAGGCTTTTCTGAACTAAGTTTCATATTTTTCGGCATTCAACTGCAAAGTGTTACCGCAAACTCTGGCAAGTTCATCCTGTTTCAAATCTAGAACAGTTCAGTTTCCTAAAGTTGTACAACCATATTTATAATTAATGCAAACAAATTACAGTCTATTATTAATTAACAGGTTCATGCAATTACTACAGTCTGTAAGAAAAGAATAAAAAGGTTGCTTTTAAAGACAGAAGGAAAGAATTACTGTGGCCTTAGTAAGGCTAATACGTACAGATAATACTTTTGACCACAAAGATCAAGTTTAAGGTTGTGAATTGATAATAGATTTGGCAAGAAATCGATGATGTATATGAGATAATTTGGTATTCCAGAGAGCCACTCTGTAAATTATTTGAAAGAGCTACAGATGAAGAAGTGTTCAAGAATAAAACTGTTTATACTATTTTCTCCTCTTGATCAGCAAGTTTTGAAACATACACCGAAGCGAAGCACTGTCCAGGATTCAAGTAAACAAATGCCTTTTGCTATTGATCCACTCAAGAAATAACTGATAGTAATATGGTCTGTGTCCACCGCTGCCTTGGTTATGACGAATGGAAACCACGTCAGGCAGTGCCTCACATTTAAGTCCAAAGCTTCTGCTACAGCAGAAATAGATGGTTCTCTGAATACACTTGTGGCATATAATGATCATCATTTGTTTGTTCGAAAAGTTTATTCCAAAAGTGACTTTCTATCCCACAGCCCACTCACTTATGTATTGAAGTCATCTACTACGATAGTCAAGTATGAACGTTTTTCTTACATAATGAGGTCAAACAGTTTCCCGTAGAATCTATTCTTCACTTCATCCCAAATGCAGTCAGTCACCATGTGTGTAAACAGAAATTACAAAGAGACAACAATGAGTTACGATGTTCTTCCTAGTCGTCACTGCATCATTCAGTTGAACAATCCACACAGATGACTGTCAACTCGGACCCAGTCTAGCAGTGCACTTCCTACCTTGGTGCTGACCTAATCCTATATATACACTTGAAAAATAACGAGAAGTAGGTGTCGAATCTGTGGAATATCACAGTGAACTATACAGATTGATCACACTGACCAGGTGATGTTAATTGAACAGCCACAACTGAGTTCTCTGTACATGTCTTACAAGCACAGCACACGTCCATGAACCGAGATATCATAGTGTCACCTAGTTGTCTGGTCTGACGGAGAGTGTTGACATTCACAGTCCCAACATATAGTTTGGGATGTTGTCCCATGGACCCAAGTAGCAGTTATAAGGAGCTGCAAATCTGGATGAAACCAACGATCATGTGGAAATATTGACTATGAGATAAGGTGAAAGATTAGACGGCAAAGATTTTGAAAGTTATTAATGATCTGAGGGAACTTGAGTGACGATAGAGTTGTGAGCCAGTTGGTACTTTGCAGCTGGTCACACTGGAAGGTTACTTCACCTAGAAATGCCTGAAAAAGAAATTGTTTAAATAATAGTGGTGTGTGATCACAGACTACGAGGGACATCTGTTTGGCCCCAGTCACACAACGCCTTTCTAGAAGTTTCAGAGGCAAGTTTGTTTATCCCGAATCTAGCTAGAAACTAACAATGCCGGAACCAAAATACTGCAGAGGAGGTAGAGTGTGCTACCTTTGAAGCCGACTTTTTCTAACCCCCATTCACAACAACATCAACATGCTGCTGAGGGTCGTCTGTAGGAGATACCGTTACTGCTGCTACACCACCGTCTAATCAGTAGTACAACTTTGCCCTGAGACTTCACCACAGTATGGTAACTAACACTATGGTGGTAACCGTTTTTTCGTCTTACTACTATCTGAACACACCTTCCTGGTATGCTGGACCTCAAAGGAACAAGCTCTTCATCATTACATTTCTTTAGGTCTTTGCGAAATGGAAGTCTGACCACCATATGAAACTGCCGTCTATCAGACAGGGCTTAGTTATATCCCTCACAAGTGACTTGCTGAAGACTAGAATAGCTCAAATGTTCAGCTAACACAGGGTGATAAATCTCAGTTTATCAAGTCTGAAGTGGTGATTGAAATTTATTCATCAGATTTGCAACGAAGTGAAGCCTCTACACTTCACAAACTAAATGAATTAGTATACAAACAGGAAGACAATATGTTTCATTAATATAAGAGTAAAAATTGAGCATTGTGGTAGATTTTAATTCGATTTTAGTCTATTCACTAGAAATGTTACACATAGTGAAACAGTGTTATTTATTGGATAACATTTAAGACATAATGAATATAGACAATGTTAGTTGGTTGGAGGCAATCGGCAGGAAGGTTTCTTGCCTTTCAGCAATCGTCAGCAAGGTGTATCTGCAAAATCGATGGAGCTGGCGTCCCACTTGCAGTTGCAGTCAGCAACTTTACAACTGAGTTATTCGGGCCACGATTGACCTCTTGTAGGACTAGCTTACATGTATTGATTGGTTACGGGAGTGCAACTAATTTGATGTTGTCTAGTCCTGAGTGTAGACCGAATTCTATCGATCATATTTGCAATATGGCAACCAAGCTAACAAGCTCAGCATTGTGGTGCACATTAGTAGATATTAGTTGGTTAGAGGCAATCGACAGGAAGCTCTGGACCTAGATTTCGTGCTTTTTGGCACATTTGCCACATTGCAAATAAGATCGATAGAATTCGGCCTGCACTTACCACTAGACAACATGAAATTGGTTGCACTCCCGTGACGAATCAATACGAATATGGACAATAAATTATTTTCGAAACGTTATCCAGTAAATGATACCGTTTCACTGTGTACTATTTCTAATAAATAAACAAATTAAACTTTTTTCAATCCTTTTGTAAAAAGCATTACCTCTATCCTGATTATTTATCTATTTTAGGCTGTTTGTATCCGAAGAAATATTATAAAATTGAAAAATAAATCAATTTAAAAATTGAGAATATAACTGTCCACATTGACAGTTGAATAGGTTTCCAATAGCTTAACTGTGATGCTACAAGTGCCATATAATCATGAACTATGGAAATGTACCAATAGACAATGAGAGTAGACTGAACCTAGTCATGATGATTTGTAGATTTCGTTAATCAGATCAGATTAATCTCAACATTAGATGAGTCTGAAATTGAACATTTTGATTCTATATTATGAATTTGTTCAGTCACATCACTGATGTTATGAGCTATAAAACAAGTGAAACATCTCTCCGATGTTTAGATTATGCATATCTAGCTAACAAAATAAGCAGATCAATGTGAGTGGTTTCTAACTACTCACTGTATTCAGTAGTATATTTCGTTCACAGAAAAAATCACCTCATTTCGAATATATTGTATTCATTGTAGACTGTTGATATTTATTATCACTACCATGTTGTATATACATTTCAATGCAATATTATGTAAATTTATTCAATTAACTTTGCTCATTTCTATAGGATTCTGTTTGCAAAGTGCAATTATTATGTTCCATGTTGAACAATTTCAGGATAAATATGGTAAATCATCAGGTCATCCATATGGATTTAATCAGTGGTCTGAGGTAAGAAAACTACCACATTATGTCAACGTATCTTCTTTTTTTTTTAGAACAAAATTAACAAAAATCTTTACTGAATTACTTCATTATTATAGTTTGTTGATAATATGTGAGAGGAAATATAGTTGGCAGTTGGATTTGAACTATTGACAATCTGATTTCTGGCTCGATGCCATATCTTCTTAGCTGTAATGCCCGGCTATTTATCAAGTTTCATGTTCATGAGGTATACTATCCTAAATCTTAGGAAATATAACAAAATTATTTCATTTTGGTATAGTCTATAAAAGATCAGTTAGTTGACAGGTTGTTTTCAATACAGACTAGCAGTAGATAGAAAACAGGCTACGATGATGGACCACTGAACAGATGCTTTTGTTATAGTCATTCAAATCATATGTAGTGCTTATGCAGAATCCGAAACCTAATCGACCTTAGGGTAGCCGGATATTGTCTTGAGCACGTTATTGTTAATCAATGAGATTAATAAAAATTACTCATATTTTGTTTATTCAGTCTATTTGTTTCTCTATATGATGTGACTGTAGTTTAAAGTCATAAGGATGCATTCAAATCCCTTCAAATACTATCAAGTATAGACTGATGAATTTTGAAGACTCAGAGATATTTTTCAAAAGTGTCTCTCTAATGTAGTCGAACAGTCAGTAGAAGGCAGTATCTACGGGTAATCTGTTGCTAAAATCCACAATATTAGGTTCTTAATATGCTGAACACATGTTCAAATAAAGTTAAAAATTGACTGAAACGATGTTTAGCCGAATAAAACTTTTAAAAAATATTTTTAGTTATTTTTCTTTACAGTTGTGGCATGCAATAAATCATTCTCTGAAATTCAGTATTGAAACAAGTTACTTCATTATACAATGATACACAGAAGGACAAGTATATGTAACTGATGATATTCTGATAGGAGTAAATAGTTATCCTGATTAAGTCTATTAGCCTTTATCCGATATTACAGTCTCATCAATGGTAAGGAAATTTACTTAGAGTTTAAAATGAGTGTAGCATGCTCTTATGAAATCATTATCTCATCTTCATCGAAGAAGAAGAAGAAGAATATCATTTAGCTTAAGAAAATCATCCAACAGGCTTTTCTGAACTAAGTTTCATATTTTTCGGCATTCAACTGCAAAGTGTTACCGCAAACTCTGGCAAGTTCATCCTGTTTCAAATCTAGAACAGTTCAGTTTCCTAAAGTTGTACAACCATATTTATAATTAATGCAAACAAATTACAGTCTATTATTAATTAACAGGTTCATGCAATTACTACAGTCTGTAAGAAAAGAATAAAAAGGTTGCTTTTAAAGACAGAAGGAAAGAATTACTGTGGCCTTAGTAAGGCTAATACGTACAGATAATACTTTTGACCACAAAGATCAAGTTTAAGGTTGTGAATTGATAATAGATTTGGCAAGAAATCGATGATGTATATGAGATAATTTGGTATTCCAGAGAGCCACTCTGTAAATTATTTGAAAGAGCTACAGATGAAGAAGTGTTCAAGAATAAAACTGTTTATACTATTTTCTCCTCTTGATCAGCAAGTTTTGAAACATACACCGAAGCGAAGCACTGTCCAGGATTCAAGTAAACAAATGCCTTTTGCTATTGATCCACTCAAGAAATAACTGATAGTAATATGGTCTGTGTCCACCGCTGCCTTGTGACGAATGGAAACCACGTCAGGCAGTGCCTCACATTTAAGTCCAAAGCTTCTGCTACAGCAGAAATAGATGGTTCTCTGAATACACTTGTGGCATATAATGATCATCATTTGTTTGTTCGAAAAGTTTATTCCAAAAGTGACTTTCTATCCCACAGCCCACTCACTTATGTATTGAAGTCATCTACTACGATAGTCAAGTATGAACGTTTTTCTTACATAATGAGGTCAAACAGTTTCCCGTAGAATCTATTCTTCACTTCATCCCAAATGCAGTCAGTCACCATGTGTGTAAACAGAAATTACAAAGAGACAACAATGAGTTACGATGTTCTTCCTAGTCGTCACTGCATCATTCAGTTGAACAATCCACACAGATGACTGTCAACTCGGACCCAGTCTAGCAGTGCACTTCCTACCTTGGTGCTGACCTAATCCTATATATACACTTGAAAAATAACGAGAAGTAGGTGTCGAATCTGTGGAATATCACAGTGAACTATACAGATTGATCACACTGACCAGGTGATGTTAAGTGAACAGCCACAACTGAGTTCTCTGTACATGTCTTACAAGCACAGCACACGTCCATGAACCGAGATATCATAGTGTCACCTAGTTGTCTGGTCTGACGGAGAGTGTTGACATTCACAGTCCCAACATATAGTTTGGGATGTTGTCCCATGGACCCAAGTAGCAGTTATAAGGAGCTGCAAATCTGGATGAAACCAACGATCATGTGGAAATATTGACTATGAGATAAGGTGAAAGATTAGACGGCAAAGATTTTGAAAGTTATTAATGATCTGAGGGAACTTGAGTGACGATAGAGTTGTGAGCCAGTTGGTACTTTGCAGCTGGTCACACTGGAAGGTTACTTCACCTAGAAATGCCTGAAAAAGAAATTGTTTAAATAATAGTGGTGTGTGATCACAGACTACGAGGGACATCTGTTTGGCCCCAGTCACACAACGCCTTTCTAGAAGTTTCAGAGGCAAGTTTGTTTATCCCGAATCTAGCTAGAAACTAACAATGCCGGAACCAAAATACTGCAGAGGAGGTAGAGTGTGCTACCTTTGAAGCCGACTTTTTCTAACCCCCATTCACAACAACATCAACATGCTGCTGAGGGTCGTCTGTAGGAGATACCGTTACTGCTGCTACACCACCGTCTAATCAGTAGTACAACTTTGCCCTGAGACTTCACCACAGTATGGTAACTAACACTATGGTGGTAACCGTTTTTTCGTCTTACTACTATCTGAACACACCTTCCTGGTATGCTGGAACCTCAAAGGAACAAGCTCTTCATCATTACATTTCTTTAGGTCTTTGCGAAATGGAAGTCTGACCACCATATGAAACTGCCGTCTATCAGACAGGGCTTAGTTATATCCCTCACAAGTGACTTGCTGAAGACTAGAATAGCTCAAATGTTCAGCTAACACAGGGTGATAAATCTCAGTTTATCAAGTCTGAAGTGGTGATTGAAATTTATTCATCAGATTTGCAACGAAGTGAAGCCTCTACACTTCACAAACTAAATGAATACCATCTAAGGCTTTTATGCAAGTATTTCCAATCGGTTGTGTATCAGTTTGGAAGTTTGTGGGGATTAATTTATTGATTACAGGTTGGCATTTATCCTAGACTGACATCAGTGGATGAAAAATTGGAAACGTGGGAGAAATGAACAGCCTTTTCATCCTAATATGGAACTCCTCAGCAGCGTGCACTCATGACTCACCCAGCTACAGTCCCTCGGTATAACTCCAATGGTCTATATTTCCTACTTCTGTCAGGTAACGATATAACACAACCGGTGAAGTCAATGACGGCATCGGATTGAGGTAGTACTTCATCGTGAACTTGCAGAAATAGGAAATATGGACCACTGCATTTAAACCCAGCGGGTCGATGGTAACGTGCTAGGAGAATAACCTGAAGGTCCTGGGTTGGAGACCTAGCAATGTGGGTCATGGGCGCGCACTGCTGAGAAGTTCCATGTCACGACAAAATCCTAGGTTTCCAAATTTTCCTGAATGGTGTCACTCCATGGTGAATACCAACCTGCAGTCAGTAGTATGTCATTCAAAATACAAAATGTTTGCATTTTCTGATTTTAACTTTGTCATTTTCCAGTTTAAATATCCATTAAATGAAAATTTCATGAAGGGTTTCCAAACTGAAAGTGAACAATAATTAACTAACACTACATTTCCTTCAAGATCTAATGATTGTACTGTGTTGAAACATGCGCAACATGTAAAGTCATGTAACTTTTAAGTGTATTTCACCTGATATTGGCATGTCAGAACTAATGGACAACAGAATCCGGTTCATTTCTCGCTGTTGAGTTACATATTGACCAGTTTACTCAGTTATGCCTTTGAAGTGAAATAGGAGTAAGACAAGGTTGCCGCTTACTATCACCGATCATCTTCCAGATTGTGGTCCACTCGACTGGACTGAATCATGCAACAGAAAACTGTGAGGAGCTGTGAGAAGATGGGCATACGGTGGCTGGACCAATGAAAAAACACTAGAAGATTTGGATCTCCCCAGTGATAATGATTTATGTCAAATGTCTTGCAGGACAAACTCGAAAATCTGTAGGTGAAAACCAACAAGTTGGCAAAAGAGGCGAGGCGAGGCGAGACAGTGAAGGAAGACGGGACTTCCTTCAGAAGAACGTAGAGAAGACAAAGGGGATGAAGATAACCAACCAACCAACAACAACAACAACAACAAGCACCAGTCACCATCAACGGGATAAATCTAAATGAAGTAGTCTCTTTCACCTACCTATTTAGGCAGCGTCGTTCCAGATACAGACAATGGTAGAGATGAGGATGTCAAAGCCAGCCAGGATCAACAAGACAGCAAGATAGGCCTTTCTTCGTTAATCTGAAATCAGTGTGGAGATCTACTGCACTTTACCTTACTTCACTCAGTATGAGGTGTGAACAAGATCCGGATTTTCAACACGAAGTCAGTCAAGTCAGTGCTTGCTTCTATATGGTTCAGAGACTTGGCACGTTGCGAAAAGTATTTTGAACAGACTACAGACATACATCAACAGCTTCCGTCTATGCTCATTCGGTACTGAAGATCAGATCAGATGGTGAGAACGAATAAGAAACGAGGAAATCTGGCTGAGTGGCTGACTGGCTGGCAGCGAACCAACCAACCGACAACCTATCGCCCAACAAATATTCAGACGAAGAAAGTGGAGATGGGTTGGATTGGACATACACTGAGTAGACCATTTAAGGATATCATGCACTAGGCCAGGCCCTCGGGTGGAATGCAAAAAGGAAACGATGAGTTGGTTGTCCGAGGCGAGGGTGACATGGTGGAGATTATGTGAGGAAGAAATGAAAGTTTGTGGGCAGTGGGCAGTGGTAGAGCCGGGTTGAAAAGATTGCAGAGAAGATAGTGGGATGGTGACGTGTTAGTGA